TTCCAAAGTGATTATTTGATTTAATATTTTCTCTGAATGATAAATTAATTGGTGCTTCATAATTGTAGACTTCACTTGTGTAGGATATTTTCCAAATATTATTTTCCAAATAACTACATTTAAGCAAACACACTATTACTTTCTTGGGTAAAAATATTTCTAAAATGATTTGTACTCCTCACTATCATTTCAAACAGAGGCTACAAAGCACATTCTTCTTGGTGAACCAAGGTTATCCACAGAAATTTACATGGTCGGTAACTTGCAGTGGCTCACACCTATAATCCCGACAGTTTGGGCGGCCTAGGTGGGAGAATTACTTGAGCCCAGGAATTTGAGACCAGTCTGGGCAACATAGTGAGACCCTGTCTCTATAAAATTTTTAAAAAGTAAAGAAACTGGCCAGGTGCAGTGGCTCACGCCTGTAATCCCAGCACTTTGGGAGGCTGGATCACTTGAGGTCAGGAGTTCAAGACCAGGTTGACCAACATGGTAAAACCCTGTCTCTACTAAAATACCAAATCAGCCAGGCACGATGGCACACGGGAGGCTACTTGGGAGGCTGAGGAAGGAGAATTGCTTGAACCTGGGAGGGAGAGACTGCAATTAGCCAAGATTGCACCATTGAACTCCAGCCTGGGCAACAAGAGTAAAACTTCATCTCAAAAAAAAAAAAAGTAAAGAAATGTACATGGTAGAGCTGAGATGGGGCAATGGGTTTGGGGTCCATTGCTTCTGGATTGGATGGCAGCAGTTTTACCCCTTTGTTATATGCCCTATTTCTCACTGTTGTGTGCCTGCCTCTAATCATCCCTTCCTTCCCATTTGTTTCCTTTCATTAATTTATTCATATATCTGGTACATAATTTTGAACGCATGGTATATGCTAAGCACTGGGGATACAGTAGCAAGTTAGACACTCACACAATCCATGACCTAAGGGAACTTAATATTTTAGCAAAAGAGGCAAGCATAAACAAATACAATGTGTGTTTTGAGGGCAAAATTAGAGGACCTCCTTTAGGGGACCTGGGAAGGTCACCTTGAAGAGGTGACATTCAAGAACTGAGAGGTGAGACCCTATCCCAGAGTGAGCCGTTAGTAAGTACTGACTGAATGAATGAGTCCACGTGTGCATACTTGCTTAACGGTCATTAGCCAAGTAGAAAGAAGAAAAGAAAGAGTCGTGATACATTATGCACTGAGAAACCAGAAATGTTATTGAAAGATGTCTAAACTAACAGTCAATAGGGGGACGGGTGTGATAGCTCACGCCTGTAATTGCAACACTTTGGGAGGCTGAGACGGGTGGATCATCTGAGGTCAGGGGTTTGAAATCAGACTGGCCAACATGGTGAAATCCTGTCTCTACTAAAAAATACAAAGAGTCAACAGGCACTGAGTGAGGTCCTGATAGAATTGATGGCATTAATTTTGGCTGCTGTGGGGACTGTGTTATTGCCTTACTTAAGATCTTGAGCTGCTAGACAACTGAAGGATTTTTCATTATCACTGGGCTAATCTATACACATTCAGTTTTTATTTCATCCCGCAAAAAGCAAAACCAGCCATATATGGCCCAAGTCTCTATGAAGGTTCCTCCAGGTTGCCCACGTAGTTCTGACTCCGAGCTCCTACGCATGTGACTTTTCTGGCACAGCCACCAGAATCACCTTGAAAGGTTGTCACCTACCCATTTCTTAACAAAGCCATACAGCTCTGTTCAGAAAAGACAGCAGGCCTGCCTCTTAGGCATTATGGCATGTTGCGAAATGCGTTTTCATTTGGGACCTATTATTGTCCCCAGAAATTTCAGCCTCATGACATTTTACAAATCAAGAAGAACTTGTAGTCTAAAGGACAGAAGCAGCAGATAACAAACAAGAACTCTTGTAAAGACGTTACTCAATTATATGCCTAATACAGCCAACCTGACATAGAAGCATTATTCTCATATCACATTTAATAGCAGCAGAGTTTAAAATGCCAGAAACGTGGGCCAAGTTATTCAGGACTGAATGTGATGCATGACTAGATCTGTCAATAAACTATCATGAAACCATAAGAACCCCTAACAGAAGGAGCCAGCGTAGCCTTTGTTGATCTTAGTTTCTTACAATTCCTCATGGAAATACTAAATCGGGCCAGGCGCAGTGGCTCATGCCTGTAATCTCAGTACTTTAGGAAGCCAAGGTGGGCAGATCACTTGAGGTCAGGAGTTTGAGACCAGCCTAGCCAAATGGTGAAACCTCATCTCTACTAACAATACAAACTTAGCCAGGAGTAGTGGCAGGTGCCTATAGCTCCAGTTGCTCGGGAGGTTGAGGCAGAAGAATCGCTTGAACCTGGGAGGCAGAGGCTGCAGTAAGCCGAGATCAAGCCACTGCACTCCAGCCTGGGTGACAGAGTAAGACTCTGTCTCAAAAAAAAAGAAAGAAAAGAAAAGAGAAAAACTAAACTAAAAGATTGTACCAAATATGGATTTTCCTAATGAAATAAAGGGAAACAAGGAATGACAAGTGTCTAGAAATGGTTGGTTTTAGATTTTTTTCCCCAGAGTCTTTCCTTCCTTTGATAAAATGTCAGACTCAACATAGGCTCAATCTTGAAAGTGTGGTATTGCCAGGCGTGGTGGCTCCCGCCTATAATCCCAACACTTTGGGAGGCCAAGACAGGTGGATCACCTGAGGTCAGGAGTTCAAGACCAGTCTGGCCAACATGGTGAAACCCCTTCTCTACTAAAAATACAAAAAAGTAGCCGGGCATGGTGGTGGGTGCCTGTAATCCCAGCCACTTGGGAGGCTGAAGCAGGAGAATCTCTTGAACCTGGGAGGTGGAGGTTGCAGTGAGCCGAGATTGCGCCACTGCACTCCAGCCTGGGGGACAGAACAAAACTCCATCTCAAAAAAAAAAAAAAAAAAAGGGCCAGGTGGGGTGGCTCACACCTGTAATCCCAGCACTTTGGGAGACCGAGGTGGGTGGATCACGTGAGCTCAGGAGTTCAAGACCACCTTGGCCAAAATGGGGAAACCCTGTCTCTACAAAAATACAAAAATTAGCTGGAGATGATGGTGGGTGCCAGTAATCCCAGCTACTCGGGAGGCTGAGGCGGGAGAATCACTTGAACCCTGGAGGCAGAGATTGCAGTGAGCCAAGATCGCATCACTGCACTCCAGCCTGGGCGACAGAGTCAGACTCCATCTCATAAAAAAGAAAAAGAAAAGAAAAGAAAGAAAAGAAAAGTAAAGAAAAGAAAGAAAAGAAGAGAAAAGAAAGTGTGGTATTCATGCATGTATTCTTTCACTGGTCAGGGTTTCTATTTTGGATTCACATGGTATGGCTCTCTTTCCGTACTTGATAGACTCAAGCAATCTAAGTGCACCTATGTAACAGGCAATTAGATACCGTAAGTATCGAAATCTTAAAAGAGACATAAGAAAACATTAATCCACTTGTCAAAAGTTACATAAACTTGCAGTGGTCAGAGTAGTGAAACGACTTTCTGCTAAACTCAATTTTCCGATATGCACATAAAAAGACATTAAACCTGCCATGCCTCCAGGGAACTCAAGGTCTTTAACCTCTACAGTTGTTAGATTTCTTCCTATTTGCCTGAATATATAAAGCCACAGGGAAGTTTGTCCTATGGAGGAAATATCTTCCAATTTTGAAACAATCATTTCTTCTAGCCGTTTTTAATGACTGGCTACTTCTCAGAAGAAAAAACCCTTAGCTTCTTACTGCAAGCGTCATTGGGCAAAGATATACCCAAATCAGGTTCTTTCATAATTGGTGAGCTCTTCAACTTCGTACTGTCCTCGCACAGGCCAAAGATCCCACACCCTTGTTATATTGCCTATATTATACTACGACACCTTTCCCCAAGAACTGGCAATTACACAAATCGGTTGGAACTATTTTTTTCCCTAGATTTTCCTATGGACTGTTTGAGTTTTAACTATTAATAACACAGTTACTGGTATCTGTGTGTGGCATATCATTATTACAATTGATCATACATAAACATTTGATTAAGGCTGTAGCTTTATTATATTTTCTACCCACTCAAAAAAGCTAGATTATAAAGACTTAGTAGTCCCAAGAAGTATTTATTCATTAGTTTCTCCTAAACCATGACCAATACAGAAAAAGTCAGTCTCAAACTGGTCTGTTTTAAAAACACAGATTTGAGGATAAGAGGCCATTTTAAACTGACTTTTTTTTTTTTTTGGAGACGGAGTTTTGCTCTTGTCACCCAGGCTGGAGTGCAGTGGCACGATCTTGGCTCACTGCAACCTCTGCCTCCCGGGTTCAAGTGATTCTCCTGCCTCAGCCTCCCGAGTAGCTGGGACTACAGGCGCACACTACCATGCCCGGTTAATTTTTGTATTTTTGGTAGAGACGGGTCTTGAACCCCTGACCTCAAGTGATCCGCCCACCTCGGCCTCCCAAAGTGCTGAGGTTACAGGCATGAACCACCGCACCTGGCCTAACCTGACCTTTAATTTGCTGTTACCTTGTCTAAATTTAACAGAATTGGGGGTGGGTGGGGGGAGAAAGTTTAAAAGTATTTTCATGAAACCAGAACCACCATTTAGCAAAACCTTTAAACGGAATGAATTCCTGAGCTCACAGAAGTGCAAATCGCAAGGTTACACATTGCCTCCTAGAAACAGCACCTGGTTCTGAACTCTTTGCTAAAGCAAATGCTTTGCTAAAGGATTCTGATTCAGCCCACTGTAAAATCTCAAGCACAGGTAGATTTTCCACTTACTCTCCATTACACACACGTCCCTCTAGCAAAACCAAAAACAGCATTTGATGAAAGCTAAAGATTACAATTATCCGGGGACTCCGAGCCACTGAAAAATAGAGTTTGCAAAGAAATCCCTTTGCCCCCATCTTCCCCTCACCATCCCTGCCCCTTCTGCAGAAGGGAACTGAAATCATATGCAATTTGAAATTTTTAATATGAATATACTAAAGTAGGAAGCACGTACCTGCTAAGCACCTGGCGCTCTCTTTCCCTGCTTGCTCTCTCCTCCCACACTCTGGCAACGGAATGCCCTTCAAAACCATGGCTCAGTGCTTTTGGTAAATGTTTTACGAGACACTAAACAGGCTTGTGTCCCACCCTCAGAGCAAACACCATTGAGGGAACACAATATAATGGTCGAAAAGATATCATGTAATGTACAATAATGAAAATGAACAAGCAGGCTCTATTTCCACACTTCCCCTTAAGGGGGAAAAATGTCAAACTTTCAGGTGGTGGGGGCGGAGTTGCAGGAAGGGCTCATAGAAATAAACCTTGACACTGGAAGTGTTACAGCAATTTTTTTTAAGGTGGCATTATGATAAGCTCATTGTTCTAATCCCCAAACAAGTCTTGGCTTGCCGAGCTAAAAAACTGCCAAAGGCAAGAGTTAATAAAAGGTGGAGTTCACTGGCGAATACGTAGACGCAGTAGCATCTCCACATTGACCACATATTCCTATTTATCCGAGAAAATGCAACTCAAAAAAGTGCTCATAAACCATCCTCCACAATAACCAAAGATACTTCCCATTTTCCATATCCTTCAAGTTATTCACAGTTAAGACCCAACTCTGCTCCAAACCAGAAGTTTTGCATTCCATTCAAGTTAACAATTACAACTGGAGGATAACAGAAACTTGCTGGCACCAAACTATTAGAATGTCAGGTGCCTCCTGGTACCACCAGGGTTAATGAGATAAAGAGAGGCTGCCCAGGGATCATCTGTCTGCCTGGTTTTACAGAAACTACCTAGGGAGATTGCTAGAGTCTTGGGCCCATGCGAGCAGCACGCACTCACCTGCTGTTGGAGGACTGAGTGGGACAGTCTAACACATGAGAAAGTAGAATTACTTAGCTACAGTCAAGCCCACTTGATAAAAGGAGACCAAGACCGTCTAGAGAAGAAGCCAGAATTGGCTTTGGTTGCAGAATCACACCCACAGACAGGATAGGCAAATAAGATAACCCATTCTCTGTCCCCACCCACTCCTCCAATCCCCCAGAGAGTGCTCAGAATTTTGCATTTCCTACCTTTAAAATGTCTGCTGGGGTGGAAACAAAACAAAGCAAAACAAAATTGAACCTAGAATTGAGATCATGTGTTTTCTACACTCCAGCTGTGTGACCTTGAGGGAGTAACTTAACCTCCCTGAGCCCGTCTCCTCATCTATAAAGTACAAATGTCTAGAACCACAGAAGTTATTTCCAAGAACTGACAGCTCTCCAGCTCCAGGAGCCTAGAAAATGGCACAGAGAAGTTCTTCACAGTTTAAAAATGTCAGAAGGGTTGTTGTCATTTTTTGGTCTCCTACCTTATGTGGATGGGTTCCATCTTATTTTCAATGTCCTCATGTTGCAGAAGCTTCCGGTTAGTCCTGGGACTAAAGGGCAATTGACCTGGCTTCTCCTGGGTCTGACTGACTAATCTGTTAGGGTGGGTACCATAAATGACCGTTTTATCTGCCTGCCCGGGGCGGGGCGACAGGGCCTCCCCGCCCTCCAGCCTGCCTGTCAGCTCCTTTTGCTTTCACAACATTTCTCATCTTGCCCTCTACCACAGTGAACTGACCCGCCTCAGAACGCCTCATTTGGGCCTCCCTTTTTCTCTTTTTTCCCTCTCCTCCTCTCTTCTTTCTTGCTTTGCTTCCCTGAGAGGAACATAATGGGTGTTGGGGGAGGGCGATGATTCTCTTTTTCTTTTTTCTTTTTTGAGACGGATTCTCGCTCTGTCACCCAGACTGGAGTGCAGTGGCACTATCTCGGCTCACTGAAACCTCCGCCTCCCAAGTTCAAGTGATTCTTCTGCCTCAGCCTCCAAAGTAGCTGGGATTACAGGCACCTGACACCATGCCTGGCTAATTTTTGTATTTTTAGTAGAGACAGGGTTTCACCATGTTGGCCAGGCTGGTCTCGAACCCCTGACTTCAGGTGATCCACCTGCCTTGGCCTCCCAAAGTGCTGGGATTACAGGCATGAGCCACTGCGCCCGGCCCTCATCATTCTATTTCTCCTTCTACTATTTTATGTGACATGTCACACAACCCAGTGCATGGGTTAGACAGGTATTATTATTCTCGAGATTTCAGAGATACAGACAGATTCAACAACAGCCCAAGGTCACTGAGCCATTGCTGACAGGCCACGGGCTGAGGTGGCCTTTCCCGACAGCCCAGGATTTCCCTCAAGCCACTGACCTCCAAAAGCACCTCCTCTCAGAGCAGTAAGGCCCCACCTGGTCTAATCTGCTCTCCCCACCACCTGTGGCATAGTTTCCTCTACCATCCCTCTCATCTTCCTTCAGCCCTCGGCGCGGGTCAGTCCCTTATTCTAATTTTGGGGTTTATTTCACTTGACCTCTTGTCCTTTGAGTGCTCTTCTTTACACAAACCCAAGAGGAGTAAATCCCCTCCATGCTGGGGGGTAATTACTCCCATCACAGAAGTCTTTCCCATGAGCACCCCTCTTGGGTCACCTGTCTCATTTACTCTGCATTAGGGCACTTGTGTGTCCTCACATGCCCCTCCCTCCCTCCCTTCCTCCTTCCTTCTTTCCTTCCTTCTTTTTTCTTTCTTTTTTTTCACAGAGTCTTGCCCTGTTGCCCAGGCTGGAGTGCAGTAGCGCAATCTCAGCTCACTGCAACCTCCACCTCCCAGTTCTCCTGCCTCAGCCTCCTGAGTAGCTGGGATTATAGGCATGCACCACCACACCTGGCTAATTTCTTTGTAGTTTTAGTAGAGATGGGGTTTCACCATGTTGGTCAGCCTGGTCTTGAACTCCTGATCTCAAATGATCCACCCGCTTCGGCCTCCCAAAGTGCTGGGATTACAGGCGTGAGCCACCGTGCCCGACCCTCAACTGCTTTCTAGATCACCAGAGCACTTACCTCTGCACTCCCTGGCATGGAGTCCAATGCCTTACTGTTCAGAAATATACTTAAATTTTGATGGAAAAAGTTTGAAGACACAAAATCGAAATCCCAAACAGTGTTTCAAAGGCATATATTCTACGTACAGTCAGCCCTCAGTATGCTTGGGTTCCGCATCCCTGAAGTCAACCAACCACAGAACAAATATTTTGAATATTTGAAGAATATTCAAAAATCTCGTGTACCCCATAAATATATATACTACTATGTGCCCACAAAAAATTAAAAATTTAAAAATGTAAAAAGGATGGCTGTGTCTGTACTAAACACATACAGACTTCTTTTTCTTGTCATTATTCCCTAAACAATACAGCATAACAACTACTTACATAGCGTTTCCATTGGATTAGGTATTCTAAGTCATCTAGAGATGACCCAAAGTATATGGGAAGACATGTGTAGGTCATATGCAAATACTGCACCATTTTATATAGGGGACTCGAGCATCCAAAATCTGGGGGCCTGCAATCAATCCCCCATGGATACAGAAGGATCACTATATAAATTTGGGGTTTTAAGGTAGTTGCTTTGCTTTTATTTTTAATTTTTATTTTTTGTATTTCAATGAGGATAAGAAAATGGGATTATGAAGTCCAGAGAGCAAATAAGCCAGCCATCAAATCACACCACAAAACAAGCATTGTTTGTTTTCTTTTTATTGAGACGAAGTCTCACTCTGTCACTCATGTTGGAGTGCAGTGGTGCCATCGCAGCTCACTGTAATCTCCACCTCCCGGGTTCCAGTGATTCTCCTGCCTCAGCCTCCTGAGTTGCTGGGACTCCTGGCGCACACCACCACACCCAGCTAATTTTGCTATTTTTTTAGAGACAAGGTTTCACCTTATTGGTCAGGCTGGTCTCAAACTCCTGAGCTCAAGTGATCCGCTTGCCTCGGCCTCCCAAAGTGCTGGGATTACAGGCGTGAGCCACCATGTCTGGCTGCAAACATTGCTTCTAAAGTGCCTACAATAATCAGTTATTTGATATATGACACCTCATTTAATGAAATAGACAGATGAGAGGACAGACTCAGAGAGGCTGCCCAAGGATACACAGCTAATAATAACAGATCTGAGAATCCAAGCAGGTCCCAGCTGGAGCCCTTGCTCTTTGCCTGAGTCACACTCTCATGCACGTGCACACTGTAGCCTACTCACCCTAAGAGCCTGTCTACTGCCCAATCAGGGGTGTTCAATCTTTTGGCTTCCCTGGGTCACATTGGAAGAATAATTGTCTTCGGCCACACATAAAATACACTGATACTAATGACAGCTGATGAGCTTAAAAAAAAAAAAGAATCCTAAAGGAAGCTTATGAATTTGTGTTGGGCCACATTCAAAGCCATCCTGGACATGCCACAGGTTGGACAAGCTTGGTCTAAATCAAGATCCAGCCCAGGAGTGGTGGCTCACACCTGTAGTCCCAGCACTCTGGGAGGCCCAGGCAGGAGGATCACTTGAGCCCAGAGTTTAGGACCAGCCTGGGCAACATAGTGAGACCCTCGTTTCTCTAAAAAAATATATAAAATGATCCAGGCACAGCGGTCCCAGCTACCTGAGAGGCTGAGGTGGGAGGATTGCTTGGGTCAGGAGTTGTAGTTGAGGCTACAGTGAGCCAAGATCACACCACTGTAACAGAGTGCCCTGGGTAACAGAGTGACATCTTGTCTTTTAAAAAAAATCACTTACATGTATTTTCTGCCAATCTCTGACCAGAACCAGTTCAACCCTGTTTTTCTCCTTCTTTTTTTTTTTTTTTTTTTTGAGATGGAGTTTCACTCTTGTTGCCCAGGCTGGAGTGCAATGGAACGATCTTGGCTCACTGCAATCTCCACCTCCCGGGTTCAAGCGATTCTCCTGTCTCAGCCTCCTGAGTAGCTGGGATTATGGGTGTGCGCCACCACGCCCAGCTAATTTTGTAGTTTTAGTAGAGACGGGGTTTCTGCATGTTGGTCAGGTTGGTCTCGAACTCCCAACCTCAGGTGATCTGCCCACTTTGGCCTCCCAAAGTGCTGGGATTATAGGCGTGACCCACCACACCTGGCATCCTTCAATCCTTTACCTTGGCCTCCTCACCCTCCTCTCCCACTTCCCTCCACCCTACCCTCCCTTTTCTTTTTTTTGAGATAGAGTCTCGCTCTTGTTGCCCAGGCTGGAGTGCAGTGGCTCGATCTCCACTCACTGCAACCTCCATCTCCCAGGTTCAAGCAATTCTCCTGCCTAAGCCTCCTAAGTAGCTGGGACTACAAGCGCATGCCACCATGCCCAGCTAATTTTTGTATTTTTAGTAGAGACAGGGTTTCACCACGTTGGCCAGGATGGTCTCGATCTCTTGACCTCGTGATCCACCCACCTTGGCCTCCCAGTGCTGGGATTACAGGCATAAACCACTGTGCCCAGCCCACCCTAACTTCTTATCCCTAATTAAGATAATCTCTACTGTTCACTTTGAAATCTACTGATGAACTCTATTTACTATTGAAGTCCTCCTTTGATCATAAAATCCAGCCAAAAAAAATATGGATTCCCCTACTTTGGGTAAGCCTTTTATGTTCTTTTTTTTTTTATTTGTTATTTTGACTTTAAACCTTGTAGGCTATACTAGAATTCCCTGTGTTCTATACAGCACTTGGCATATAAAAGTCTCATGCTGCTCAGAGACTAAATTATGTGTCCCTGAGAAAGGACTGTGCCTTCTGTGCAATAGAAATGTTTTATAATAGCATTTCCCACCTCCAGCCATGCGATTCTAAGTGGAGTTTTTTCTCTATTGTTTGTGGTATGCCAGCATGCAGGTATACCCCTAGAATTTTCAACTGCAGAGCTGCAATAAGGCAGAATAATGCGTCTCTGGTGAGTGCTGCTCTATTGCCCCAGGCCTGTTCCAAAGCATCTTTCAGCTGTAGGGGCCCATTTCTAGCCTGAATATCTTTGAGGCTAGTATATATTTGGCCTGCAGAATAGTTTCAGCTTCTGAAAGGGGTTTTGAGCTCCCTTGGACACTAGGAAATAGTAGAGGAGAAAGAGGTAGAGATTTAATCTGGAGCTTCTAAATCTTCCAGAATCTTCCAAGGGTTTGGGAATGCCCATGAATCATATTCAAACCCCTTTAGAGGGCTTCAAAGAGTAGCATGAATGTGACCTCAGAAACTGCTCATCACCTAGCCAACCTCTGCAGATGCCTAAGAAAGTGCCCAGGGGCTCTGGGTGTTTTCCCAAACTGCCCAAGGAAGGAGGCGCCGCAATAGGAGAGGGGAGATCAGTCTATACTGTCTGGTACTGTCTGTCATGGGGATATCAGCCACTAGCCTAGCACTTCTCAAAGTGAGGTCCCTGGAACGCTGAGAGGCTCCAAGG